AGCATTTTGTCTGCACAGCTTAATGGTTGCAACATTCCAGTATTTCCGGTCCTAGCATTTCATGCATTTGTGTCTTCTCATCAACCTCACATTTGATTCTCTCACTGAGAAAGAATCTGCTGAGTCTCACATTTGAGTGAGGTTTTATCAAGGCAGTAACAGCCTTTTATTAAGGCTGCTTGCAACGTTTTATCTTGATAGTGACAGAGCCAACAGATATTTCTAGGTCAATACAAATTAAAATACTTGGATCAAAATGTTAAAATCATGTGTACATGAGTCCTCTTTTATTTGATGGCCTATTATGTATGATATTGGGATGCACATAACTTTCTCTTAGCATGAGCAGGGCTTGTAGTGTTGGAAGGTACCTCGAGGGTCATCTATTCCCCCAACAGAAGTAGGATTTACTGTTTTTAAGCCATCCAACAGATGCCTGTCTAGCCTCTTCTTCCAACCTCCTGTGAAGAACATTTCACAAGCTCCCTAGACTACTCACTGCAGCTACCATTTGCTGCAGCTACTGTTTTTAAGGTCTACCTTGACAAAGCCCTAGCTGGAATGATCTAGTTGGGGGGTGGTCCTGCTTTGAGCAGTGGGGTGGAGTAGATCAGCATTTCATAACCCATCAGTCATGACCCAGAAGTGGGCTGCAAGAATATATGAAAGGGTCGTGAACAAACTTTATAAATCAATTCTCCTTTAAAGAAGAAAAATGCAGGAAACTGTGGGTTTCCCCTTGCAGGCTGGCAGAGTTCCACAAAAAATATTTGGGCCCAAAAGCCAGCAAATAAGGTTTTTTTCAACTACTTGAGATGGTCTAATAAAAGAGATCAGATTTGCCCAAAGAACCTTGCCTGGAAAGAGTTAGGTACTTTGGAATGGGATCCATGGAAGCCAGTATGTTGAGCATACACTGCTTTTTGGTCATCTAATCCAACCAGTAGAAAATGCTGAGAAAAAGTATGTAGATAAAGCCATGCTTCTTCCACAGATTTAACCACTAGCTCTTGACTGCAGGGATTCAAAACCATGAACCCACTTTTAGTTTTGGGCATCTTAGTTCTTTTTTTCAGAAAACAGTTCATTCCTTTCAAAACATGTAAGGAAACGGTTGTGGTGGCAGCAGCGGTGACTGATTAGAGCAGTCATCTCGGAGACATGGGGCCTTGTCCATGCTCTGATAGGTATTTAAACATTTAACAAAACGCAGAATTACTCCAACAGAAGGAACCTACCCTAGAAAATACAATCATACCATGGTTAAAGAACACTGTTGGGAAATATGAACTCAAATCCCCTTAAGTAGGGGAGATTATGAGCCCGGTGTTTCCTCCTTCAAAGTGAATGAGTTACTGTGTAAGCAGCTTCATAACTGCCTCCTCCTGCATCCATCTTTTGTGTGGGCTTAGTCAAATTCAATCCACATCTAATGGATCATGCTCAATGAGTGAATAGGAAGATTATTGCCCCTCTTTCTGAATCTCACCAGAGTTTAGGCATTACTGTATCTGGAGCAAGCCTGGGACTGTGGCCACTCTGAACCCTCAAGTTAAATAGTTTAAATAAAAGGTTTGGGAGCACATCTGAACACTATGTCTAGAGAGATGTCACTGACACAGTACATTTTTGTCTTCAGTGCCATAGCTTTGGCAAGTTTGTCAGAATTTAAAAGCAAAGGTTCCAGCATTTCTGCATTCTTAGTGCTAATTGTAAAATGGATAATAACTCCACTAAAACACAGTGTTTTTATAATGGTTTTTGCTTATCCTTTCACTTAGTTTATTCACACTATAAAAAGATTATCTTTTCAAGTATTCAAAAATAAGCAGCCCAAAATGGCAGCTTCCATGAGCAAGATAAAAGTAAGACCTAACAAGATGGAATAAATCCCAGTTGATCACAGGTGTCAAATTCATCAGACCCAGTGGGCCAAATGAGTGGTTTAGGGATGGTTTGCAGGTTGGATTAATGGCATGGGGCTGGTTTGTGTGCTGGACTGGGCCTATGGACCAGCTGCATGCACTGGATCCAGCATGCAGAGCTGGTCTGGTGCGGGCGCTGTGAGCACTGTGGACCAGCCCAGCATTCTGCATGCCATGAATGTGCTAGAGCCACCCCTGTGCTCCACATGCAGGGTGTGCTGGATCCAGCCCTACACACCATACACCGTGCATGCCAGATCCAGCCCTGTGCACCATATTCAGTGTTTGGGGCTGGTCTGGCATGCACTGTATGCAGGGTGCAGGTCCAGTTCAAGACCCATGAGTAGAAGAATGGGCCAGATGATAAGGCAGTGATCTGGATCTGGCCCACATGCTGTATCTTTGATACCCTTGCATTAAGTAATAAACAGACCAATAAAAAGTTGCATTATAGATCTTTTTGGCCCTATTCATTACCAGAAGAAAATTTTTCATGATTTAAGGTTTGTAATATGCATGAAAAAATTTAATCAAATCTGAAATTCCATAGCACATTTTTTATTGTATAGAAAATACAAACTATTTTGGGTATTATACATTCTTATTGTCTTTTTCTTACATTGTCTGAAACTAAATTTGAGAAGGACCAGGAGCACTGTCACTCCTATTTCCTGTTTGTTTATAAAATTGATCACACTGTAAGGACTGCTTTTGAAAAAGATAGCTTTGAAGATGAAAACATGAAGATGTTTGTAGAGTTATTTAGCTCAGTTTGAAATCTTCAAAAATATGTTGACTGCAGGCCAAATGTTATGGTCCTTGTTCAGTCAAAACCCTCATTAAAAAAATCAAGGAGTAGTCCACGAAAGTATTAGCTGTAGCCTTCATTTTCCCCTATTTTCTGTTCATCTGAATCATTTCCAACTGTGAAACTGTGCATAAAATAATGTTTACAAAAACAATTAGATGACTATGGTACATAAATAAATTATATAACCGCTATGTGTCTACTTTGCATAGATGTAAACAGTTATGCAAGGTCTAATGTGGTAGAGAATCAGTCTTCATTGTACAGTAGTCTACAAGATAAACAACAAGGTCAGCTTTAACTTTAATAAACAGTTCATGTTGACTTTCAAAGTAAAGAAACACTGTTTCAACTATGAACACTTTAGGTCGAAAATATACTATATTTACTTGCATGCCATATGAAACTTCCTCCCCCAAAACTACCCATCCAAAATTGAGATTTGTGTTATAGATAAGGAAGCTGATTTTTCATGCCAGAATAGAAGTATGGGGACACAGCAGTGGCTACCAAGAGCTGTGCTGGACTCTATGGGTGCCTACACATGTGCTCCAATATACTCTAATTAGAACGCTTTAGCATTGCCATAGCAGGTTTAAAAATGGCCACTGGGGCACTTTAAAGTTTGTTGAATGCTTTACTTAACGTGTCCCACTGCCTTTTTAAATACTCGGGGACTTAATACACATGATGCTGCAGGATTTTAATTAGAGTGGCCCTCCGGGATCCGTTCTAATTTAACTGCTCCCCCCCCACACACTCCCAAGCACATATATAGGCACCCTACGTGAGGGGCAGAGTCCATGCCTTAGTATTGCTCACATTACCCCTTGCTGCTCAGCCAAAAGCTAGATTTTTAACCCTGTTACCATTGCTACTGAATTGGTTGCTCAGCCAAAAGCTGCTCCCATTTTAACCAACCAGGAGAAGGAGGTAGATGAGATCTTTTGAGCAAATATCAAACAAATTAAAGATGAGGAACTTCAATAACCCGGACACCACTTGGAAAAAGATATGGCAATTCATACCCAGTCCAACAAGTTCTTAGAATGTTCTATCAGTTCCAACTTTCTGCACAACTAAAAGTTCCATTCCTGGCCAACTCAAAATGAGGAACGTGATCTTTTGGGCCTCCATGCTACTGTAGCAACAACAAGCAAAACATGCATTTTACTCTGCAATTAAATAATGTGTCATAACATTTATTTAAAAGGGCAGCAAAATATTAACTAGAGATTGATCTTGCTAACAAATTTTCACCTCCAGACACATCTTCAGTGCAGAAGTGCTGTGGTCAATTTGTTATATATATGCATGGGTAGAGATTTTCCAAGCATTCTGTGGGATTGTATTAATGAGAAACATGTCCCAAGCTCCTAAACTGCTCTAAAAATCTCAAATACAGATTTCTATTTTTAAAAATCATAAGCAATACACAATATAAATTATTCAAAGATATTATTTCAAGAAACTGAGAAACTGATATTTTATTCCTCTACGATATTCTGAGATTAGTTATACTTGCTTGTCATTCGCATTGCCATCATTTTTTCTCTCTGTTTTGTATGATTTTATATAGTATTTTAATTATCTTAAGAACAAGATCTGTGGGCCTTAATAACTGGCAAATACAGAAATGCTTTGATGTTCATAGACCACTGTAACTAACAAATATGTCTCACCTGAGTCTAATTTTGTTTTATATATTTATATGTTTTCTTTGTAAAGTACACATTTATCAATGGACTATGAAAGTTTTCTAATTTGAGAGAGAGATGATAAAAACATAAGTATTTGTGTAGAATATTTAATCTCAAAGCATTTTGAAAATATGAGCTATTTAACCCTCCCGATCACTCTTTAATAAATGTTTATGGTACATTTATTCAGTATATACAGTTTTTAGATGGAAAAACTGATGCAGAGAAGTTACATGACTTGCCAAAGCTACTGAGGAATCATTATCTAAGGATATATTAAAAGTCAGGAATTTCTGGTTCCTCATCCTGTGCTCCAACAATGAAAACATAATCCTCTAATAAATTAGAGCTGTCATTTTAATTAGAGTTAGAAACATTTTAATTACCTTATAGAAGAGCATTCCACTTCAACTTTTCTCTCTCTAAAGTAGAAAGTTGATCAACATTAACTTCAAACAAAACAAAAAGATCTATTTATGATTCATTTATATTTGAATTAAATCAGTTTGACCATTCCTCTGAAGTCTGGCTATATTTTAAATATATTTGAAATAACTTATTTAGTACCTGTTGACTGATACAAATCCATTCTTTCATTTCACAGACTTATCTCCTGCTTATTTTCCACTGGACAAGACCTGAATTCCTCTGTTATCAGATGACCATTTCACAGCATGGGTTAAATGCTTAACTAAAACTAACCCACACACATTTTGAGTTCCATTAGCTTGACATATCTTTTCTGTGATGTGATTGGAAAGTTCAAATTTATGCTTCAAAGACTGTTTGTAAAAATGGTTCTGAATATATTTTCATTAACTTTGTGAGAAGCTTTTAAAGCATTTTTGTAAAACGATATACTGTAATGTAGCTAGAAAGCAAAAGTATGAGAAAAATGGGTAACTGCCTGAAATGTGTTGGTTAATAAAATACTAGACAGCATCCCACATGCAGACCAACACACTGCAAGTTTAAATGTAATTATAGCGACTTTCCAAAGCCATTAAAGTCAAAGGAAGGATCCCTTTTAAAGTTTAACCTTGGCAAACTTTGTATCACACCCAAAATGCCCCTGTTTTTTATTCTAACCACCCACCCAGCTTCATCCTGGATCCACAGGTGGTATAAATGAATTCATCTCTACTGGAACTAAATTGATTTGTAGCAGACATAGACCTAACCCTTTATATTTGTAATGACATAGGAAAAAGCCTTATTTCAAAGCATATTTGTTTCCTCCTAACAATTATAATTTGTCATGTTCATTGTTCATTTTCACTGGAAATGATTATTTCTTTTCTCCCAAAGATTAATGATGGTCAAAATTTCTGTATCTGAAGATGATGCACTAAAGCTGGTATTTCAAGAGACAAGTGTAATTTATTCAGAGGTTGGTAACAGGGAGTGAATGAATTCACTTTGCATAGATAATTTGTTGTACTACAAAGAAAAAGATGTGTTGGATGGTAAACACCTACTGCAGACTCTCAGAGGCCTGCTTTGTAGCCACTGATTTTATTAGTGTGTAATTAATAGGTACAAAGGGAGCAGTCTGCTCAAGTACTGCTTTTCTGCCTGATGTTTGTGTTTCAAAATTCTTTAAATATTATTGTGGGGTGAGTATTTAAGTACAATTGCTTGCTCAAAGATTTAATTAGCATTCATAGCATGTTCATTTGTTTTATAAGTACTTTTATAAGTCATTTTAAAAAGCAAGCATCTCCACACAGCTCTCATTATTTAAATAAAGAAAAAGCAGAGGTACATTTATTTACATTTCATTTCATTTGGGGGGGTTTTCAGATGCATGTCATTGACTTAATTTTTTTGATGTTCATCATTTGTCTATCTGAATCCAGCAAGCTGGTTGAATCAAACAGTAAACAGTTTCACTGAAAGCTTTAGGAACCTATATAGTTCATTCCTTCTGTGCTGAAGTCTCTGAAATTAATGGAAGTTCGGTCATTGGAAAGCAAGCATAATGGAGGACATGTGCAGGAAAAACAATGTTATAAACAAATCTCCTAATTATTCAGCCTTCTGATTTGGTCAGACACTGAAAACTAGTAGTAGCAGCAGCAACTGTAAAATGAACTGAGATTTAATACGGTCTTATTGAATAAGGTATATTGTATTCAAGCTTGTTATCACAAGTAAATTAGTCTTTTTCTTTTTATGAATATGTGAAAAATGTTATTTCAGGTTCAAAATTATTCATAATTATGTGTGTGTTGTAGAGGGTTGATGTGCTTGAAGTTGTCATCTTTACTATATGAATTCTTTGACTTCTCATTAAAATTATCAGGTTGATGCTACAACAGCAGGTATGGGTGTTTTCCTGTTCTACATTTTTCAACATGCCATCAACCAAAACTATATTTTCTTTTTGTTGAAAACATACAATTGAGCTCTAGCTACAAAAATACGTCTCTCATTATTCCTTATTGTTTTGACTGCTGATGTATCTTTGCTCAGTTCCACCTCATTCTTCCATTTGCATGTGTAAACAGCATGCAAAACATTAAAGCCCAGACTCTATTTCACCTCTAAGGAAACTAAGCCTTAGCTATCACTTTCCTCAGATATATATATACACATATATATATATATACACACACACACACATATATATACACACATATATATATATACACATATATATACACACGTGTGTGTGTGTGTGTGTGTGTATATATATACACATATATATGTATGTGTATGTATGTATATATGTGTGTGTGTGTGTGTGTGTGTATATGTATCTTCCTCAGGGGAGCTGATCCTGTTATACTCCTAAGGTGCCTAGGTACCCAGTTCTCTCAATGGACACCCTAAGGAGTCCTCAGAAGGTAACCATATTTCCACCATGGAGACACAAATATACCTTATGTTCCACACTGAGCAGAATAATGAGCAATCTAAAGCACTTCTGCCAACCAGCTAAGAGGAGGTACCCTCTAGGGATCTAACTCACTGGAGGAAACATCTACCAGGTAGGCTTAAGTGACAGACAGCAGCATTGATTTATGTGTCAAGACATCTGAGGTGATGGGAAACACACATTACTCAATAAATAGTCTAGTAGTGTGGATATTTGCCCAGGAAGGCAAGACAAGAGACCATAACTAACATCACTCTGAAGGACTCTGGATGCACATCTCGTGTCTCAGGACCACACCCTAACCATCAGGGTATGCATTACATCATCTTTCAGATAACCTGTTGAAGCTGCATTACCGTTTATGCATTTTTCATTAGTTATTGGACAAAATGGATAATTTGTATTGGAAAGCAGAAGCCAGAATGCACAACTCCCCTATTCTAGAAAAGTGTCCTAACCACTACCCACGAGACTCCTTCTTGCTCATTCTTCTTCTAGCCCAATGAAATTTTCATTCCTTCTACCAAGTGGCCAAGTTGCAACAAGAAAGGTAAAAACTGACCTTAGCATTACCTGCCTCTCAGTCTGGTGGTGAAGGAAACTGCTCTGTAATGTAAGACCTGTAGGTTCAAATTTCCTTCAGGGTGAGGTGGACTTACAATCCAGGTCCCCCACTCCCTAGACCTTAACCTCAGGTATTTGGTAAAAGGCAGCTGTCAGTGTCATTCTGCCCACATGCTTAATTTTGATATCAAACAATTGTTTATAAGTGTCTTTCCTTTGAGTAAGGCTTTGGGCATTTATGCAGAACTTACATAATTGTCCTATGGGATAGGATAGCAATAAAATATAAATGGAATTAGATTACTAGGTGGCCCTGCTGTATCTCTCCTCAGTATGCACAGTAGGCTAAGTCCAGTCTGTCAGGAAACTTTTCAGGCTAAGGTGGGGGCATAAGTAATCTAGGAACTTTATTATAATTTTGGTTGTTGCTTGGGATGGAATAGGATCGTATCTAGTGACTTATATACCAAATAAACTATGTAAGCATCACTTGACATCTTACAGGATCTGGGCCTAGCTATTTTCTAATGCAAAAACAACACCCGCACTTAAGGAGCAGAAATCTTTGAAAGCATACATTGCAGCTTTCTTGATTCAGAATTTTATACATTTATTTTACTGAAAGACTAGTAGCACAAGAGTGATGATGTAACCATGATGGTTCAGAAATTATGTGAGAGGCAAGGATTGCTTAGGGTAATATCTTTTATTGGACCAACTATATAGTTGGGATAGAGCTGGACAAGCTTTTAAATGCAAGACATTCTTCATCAGATATGACTAGGTCTCTCACTGAAAGACTACACATTCATGTACTTATGTTGACAAAGTCCTTTTATGGCTACCAAAACTAGGACACTAAGTAGTGGCCTATTGTTAGAAGATGACAGCATATTGAGACTCTTGTATCCTGTTTTACTTCTCTGCTAGGATCCAGTCCAATTTCAGGTGAAGTCAATAAAAGAAGTCTCCTTTTGACTTCAAGAAGCTATATATGGCCCTGTTGGCTTGCTGGAGCAAGATGCAACCTCTCTGTCCCTTAATTAGTCCCTATGCTACTCTCCATGCTAATTCAGAAGCATGCCAAATTAATATTGTATGTGAAATCTTGTTCTTTTACGTTATGTTTCAGGCATCCCAAAGCCAAACAATATTTTAACTCCCTATATGCAAATATAAAACTGAGAACATCAAATGGTAGAAATATATGAAATCTCTATTTAATGTATGTTTTTTTACTGTAAGAAAATTAGTCCAGTGAATATATCATTTATATTATATAGGATAATATAAATAGACCAATTTATGTGAACTGATATACTGGGTGAATTTTAACAGAGAATGTGATATTATTTTTATTTTTTATTATCATTATTATTAATGTTTTTGTATTATGCTATTTCCACTATTCCATTATTATATTATTCTTAGGATTTTCATGTGGTGATGACATGCTGATAACACAGCTTTACTAAACATTTAAAAGAACTTGAAGTAAATGTAAGAAAGTAATGAATACTGCTTGCAATCAAAATAAATCACCAGATTTCATAAATCCATAGCTATTTTTATAGTGCATGTTAGTTTCTGTGCAAGATAGCTATTAGGTTTATAAGTAAATGTATAGGTAGGAACCTATGGAAATCAAGGAGGCAGGCAGCCTATTTCACAGGCAGATTGCGGGGCTGGACACCATTTTCACAGACTAATTGCAGCAGGGTCCCTTGCCCCATGTCCCTGATTGGCCAAGGGGCCCTGGTGGCCCCACCCCTCACTGCTGGTTGATTGAGAAATCAGTTCATCATATGGCCCCACCCCTCGCTGCTGACTGGAAAGGGGTGGGGGCCACATGACAGGCAGCCCTCTCAGACAATCAGTGGCAATGGGTCAGGGTTAGGGTTAGGGAGCCAGGCTGCAGCAGCCGTGCAGACCACTGACTGCCACTGGGGAGCCAGCATTTTATTTTTACTAGGTTTTTTTTTTCGCGGATTTCATGGACATTGCCCGGTTTCACAGACAATGCCCAATTTCATGATTTCCACAAAATCCATGAAATTGAGAATTGAGTAGCTCCCTAGTTATAGGCCAAGTCATAAATAAAATGCTGACATGCAAGCTTTAACTTCAGCTAGAACATAGTTTGAGTAAAAGAAAAGAACTTGCTAAATGTTTTGTGGAGAAAAATTATTTT